TAAAAAAAAAAAAAAATCAAATCTCCTTGAGTCATGCTAACCAACACTCCCCCTCAAGTTGGTGCAAAGATGTCGCACATACCCAACTTGCAACTCAAAGTATGGAAAGTTCGCTTGTTGAGACCTTTGGTAAACACATCAGCTAGCTGTTTTTCCGATGGCACATCAAGCAAACTCAAGACACCAGTTGTAACTTTTTCTTTGATGAAGTGTCGATCAATTTCCACATGCTTTGTTCGGTCGTGTTGGACTGGATTATGAGCTATACTGATGGCAGCCTTATTGTCACAGTACAAAGGAAATTTTTCCCTTTTCATACAGTTTCAATTCCTGTAGTAGCTTTTGTAGTGAAAGCAGTTCGTAAACACCTTGGACCATAGCTCTATATTCTTCTTCCGCACTTGATCTAGCAACTACACTTTGCTTCTTTCTTCTTCAAGTAACCAAATTCCCTCCTACGAGCATACAGTAATCGGATGTTGATCTTCTGTCATCTAGAGATACAACCCAATCCGCGTCTGTAACGGCTTCTATTTGGAGGTGATCATGTTTGGAGAAAAGTAGACCTTTCCCTGGAGCAGACTTCAGATGCCGCAAAATGTAAAAGACAACTTGCATATGAGGATCTCGAGGATCATGCATGAACTGACTCACCAGGCTAACTGAATAGGCTATGTTTGGTCTAGTATGGGGAGAGATAAATTAGTCTTCCAACCAACCTCTGATATCTCTCTTTATCAACTAATTCTCCAACTCCTCTTTTTAACTTGTAATTGCTTTCAATGACCGATTCTATGGGTCTGCAACCTGTCATACCCGCTTCTTTCAAAAAATCCAGAATATACTTCCTTTGAGAAATAAAGATTCCTCTTTTGGATCTAGCAACCTCAATTCCCAAGAAGTACTGCAATTTTCCTAGTTCCTTGATCTCAAATTCACGTGCCAACAACTTCTTTAATCGGGCCATCTCCTCGTGAAGAACAACTAGTCTGATGGGACTATCCCATTGGATTCCAAATAAGCGCCAAATCTTTTATCCATGTATTCGTTGCCATTGTCAGTTCTCAAGAATTTTATTTTGGCATCAAACCGAGTATAAATCATCTTATGAAATGACTGAAAACAAGAGAAAACTTCACTTTTGACTTTTAACAAATATATCCAAGTCATCCTAGTGCAATAATCAATGAAAGTAACAGATCATCAACTACCAGACAAAGAAACAGTTTGGGTAGGACCCCATACATCGGAATGAGTAGTCATAAACAGAGTTGTGCCTCTATTATCACTCACAGGATAAGAGTTTCTAGTATGCTTGACATATTCACACTCATCACAAAACAAAGATTCAAATCGAGTCCTTGAAAACAAATCGGGATATAACTTCTTCAAAACAAAGAATGATGGGTGTCCCAACCGTCTATGCCAATGTGTTATTTCTTGGTTGACATCCTTTTCCCAAAAAAGGCTTGACCAGAGTTTTGAATTCCATCTAATATATACAAGTCAATACGCAATCTACCACTGCTAATCATTTTTCCTCTAAAAAATACAATGATCGGAAAAGAACTCGATTTTACAGTTTAGCGCTTTGGTGTTGGCACTAGCAGATAAAAGATTGACAGGGAACTCAGGGACATGGAGCACAGATGATAGTTTAATATTAGGAATACAAACAACAGAACCTGTTACAGAGATATGTGTCAAAGAACGAATGGCTGTTTTAACATTATCTCCTTTGGGACATGGAGAATATTTTTCAATGCCTTTAGAACAGCCTGTCATGTGTCTATTTGCACCAGAATCAACAATCCAAGAATTAAAGTGAACAGCAAAGGCTACTCATTGCACATGATTGGATGTGACAGCATTAGCTGAGTCAAGTTTGGCTAGGAGGCGATGGAGAAGCTGAATTTCAAACAAGATTTCTCCAGAAACCGTCTCTGTCTCCATATTTCTGCCAAATCAGAAGAAAAATTGCTCAAAAATTATCTGCCTCACTGAAACCAAATCTGTCTCGAGCGAACCTTAGCTCCAGTGAACTGATAAATCAAAACTGGTAGAGATAGGTTCAGAATGTTCCAACGACCCTAATAGAAAAGAAAATTCCAAAAACAAAATTGACCAGAGGGAGTTTGTGTTGCAGACAACCACCAAGAGAGAAAACTCGACCTCTTTGATAAAAACGGAACCCTAGTGCTGCGAGGGAGATAACTCACCTCAAAAAAGGCAGAAATGGCTCGGATACCATGTAGATTTTGAGAAGATGAAAGGCTTCTTATATTTCTGTATGTGTTTACATCCCATGAGCAAGGGAATTTATACAAAGCTCCTAATGCTAATTAAGGAATGAAATAAATCTATACAATCAATCCAAACTAGCAAATCAAATAAAATCAGAATAAAATCAGATCTCCTAAATATAATCAAATCTCCTGAAATCATGCTAATCAATACTCCCAAATCAAATCTTCTTGAGTCACACTAATCAACAAAAGGCATGCCTGAAGGTTCTGGCTTTCAGTTGGGAACGCCTTGTTATGCGAGAAGGTTCTCACAATTGTTTTTATTTTTTATTTTTGATAATCCAGAAAATATCGAGGGTCAGTGGGGCATGGATAATGGCTCACAAGCTTATGCACATATTTTACCTCTTGCTCCTTTATTAGCCTTTCTTCTTAAGATCACTCCTTTTCTTTGCCCCATTTCCTGTATTTTTGATTCTTCACTGCTCTTGGTTGCCTTATGCTTTCTCTATCATTTTTATAAGGTAAATAATTTTTATAAATATTGGGAAATCTCGAAAAGAAATCTATTGATCCTGTCCCAGTTGGTTGGATCATTGGTGTGATGATTTATTTCATGGGCAAATTTTTTAGTATTTTTTTTTATTTCATAAGTAGCATTAAATATATCCATCTCCAATATACGAGTAGTATTCTGAAAAGTAGAGAATCTACAACATAAGATGAATCTCTAGAGACGACATTCTATCTTCTCTACACAGTAGAACTTCATGGATTCACCAAAAAGAAACTAGGATTGAGAGGGTATTTCTGAAATGTTAAATAGTGGTTCTCTATCCCATCAAAAGATCTCCTATTTCTTTCCTTCCACAAGATCCACATAAGTACTGGCAGGACAAAACCCTAAGCTCTTTGACTTCTCTTTAAACTTTCAACTGTCAATATAACTCCCCTTGCTGCAAATCAAGTGAAAAAACACGCCTTCCTTGGTTCCCTGAGAATCCAAACCGATAAATGTGGAAAAGCAACCATTCCCTCGCTAAATGCTTATAATAAAATGACTTTACTGTAAACAAACCATCTCTTCTCACCCTCTATTTTCATGCGTCCTGAATAACCTGAGATGTTGCTATCTCTATCATCTAACCGACTGGCTAATGCCTAATTGTATGTGCATATTCTCGAATAAGACAGAACCAAGAAGTTTCATGTCAAAAATATGCAAACATGTTTTGATGTTTGATAAATTGAATCTCTTTTTCCTTACTGACCATTGCCACTATGTTCTACATACTACTGCTTGCTCTTTCCCTCGTTTTTTTCCCTATCTATTTTCTTGATCATATGTTTCTCGCTTTGTAAGCCAAAGGTTTTTAGCAATTTCTTTGCATACTTGAATTCAAGTACAAAGGTCTTCACTTCTCTAGGCTGTAGCACTTGTGCCATTTGTTTTCTAGTGCAGTTCATTTCGATTAATTTGCGAAGACAAATATGTTTCCTTCATGTGCAGTTTCATGCAACTTGATCTTGGCCATCTGCGTGTCCAAAATGAATTTTGTTGGTTTGGGTTCCCCGAAAAAGATCCTTCAGCTGTCCATCTCGATATTCTTGATGCAGAGGTACTTGATTTCTGCTTTTAACACTCCTGGAATAAAACATAGCACTTTCTAAAATCTTCTGTAACATTTCAGATTTTGGGGATTAACATGGCCGTGGGGATCAACGGATGTATAGGCAAACCAATGATACGTGAAGGCAGAGATATTCATGTTTATGTTCGGCGCAGTTTGCGAGATGTTTTCAGGAAGGTCCCTACGTTTGNATTTGTTCTGGAAGTAAAGGTTGTTGTTCTGTCAGTAACCTTCCTATTCATGGTTTCATATTGCTTTATGTGTAATATAATATTTTTTAGATCATATGCTGTTATATTAATTTTTCTATGACTCGTATTTATTTGCGGCTCATTATATTTTGTCTTAGCTTGTTATATTTTATTTACAAGTCAGTTTACCATTATTTGGACTGTCGCTGGGCAGAGGTTTCTTGGTTCAGCATTTGCTGTTTTTCTCATTTTCATTAGAGCCCAAAAGTTGATACCTTTTAGGTTTTTTTATTTTTATTTTTTTAAATTTTAATACGTTATACTTTTTTAGGGTTTGATATTCCTTATGTTACAAGTCTTAGTGTTTATTTTGGGTTTTTGAAACAGGTTGGTTTGTTACACGGTGTGATGTCAGATAAAGAATATAATGTCATTCTTGATTGTTTCTACATGAATTTC